TGGCGCGCGCTGCAGAGGGCTCAGAGGGCTCAGCCTAGAAGAACGGACTGATGATGCTGTCTGAGCGCGCTCGATCGGACTCAGCATGGCAGCGGAGTTGGCGAGGACGTCCAGCCCCGAAGGCGCCCTAGTCGCCATCGAGTGAGTTCGAGATGAATAAGTAGGAGGAGGATCCTGGTAGTCGTACATAATCTCAGAGTCCAAGCTCTTGTATTTGGCAGTGCCGTCAAGCTCCTCGTCGTGTTCCCAACAGGTCTCGTCGATGCCGGTCACGGGAGGCAAGAATCGAATTTCGTTCCAGGTGACATCTTCATACTGCAGGGTGATGTACAGGAGATCTCCCTGCATTTTGTCGTGCGCGATGCAGTGGTCCTCGAGGAAAGGATAATCCCATACACCACGGTGAACGAGATCAGGTGGTAAGAGCGTCAGCGCCATGCGGCCATAGGGTTCGTCGGCTGGGCGATGACCGGTCATTGGCATCCATGGTCTGCCACGGAACACGCCCTTGAAGGCAGTCTCGATGCCATTCGCGAAACAGGAGCTGTCCGGACTGGGGAACTCGAGGGTTTGTAGTAGCTTGCGCGAAGCACATCGTCGGTAGCCATTGCTGTCCGGATCGTACGCGAACCTCTGCGATTTGCGTGGGACGAAGACGACACGGACGCTCCACGAAAGGGGGTACTTCTTATCAGTTCGAATCGGAAGTTGACCAAGGGTGTGATTTGACTGCATCAACAGTGGCATTGGCGGCGCAGGCGAGGCCTTTGGTGTTGACAGACGCGTTTTTGGCGTCGAGGCAGCAGGCGTGACGTCTCGCGACATGCCACTGAATTGCTCCACCCGGTCGACTCTGTTCTCCAAATCCATGCTGAACTCGTCTACCATAGTGAGCCTCTCGCCCTGCACCTTGATCTGATCACTGAGCTCTGTTGTCCTATCCACCACGGCCTCGACTCGGTCGTCAATAGACAACTTGAGAAGTTGCATGTTCTCGTACATGCGTGCCTGTACTGCATGGTTGGTCCGCACCAGCTCTTCTCTAGCAAGCCGCTCCCTGAACAGCTCCTGCTTCAAGTCTTGCTCCAGCGTCTCGAAGCGCTTGACCTCCTGCTTCAGCCGCTTCATCTGCTCTACTGCCTGTATGTATGCCTCGGTTGACACAGTCGAGATGGGCTGGGCCTCATGGTTCCACGCCTGGTGTCCGCACCCACAGCGGGAGCGTATAATGGAGTCGGGATAGAAGCTACGGCAGGGGCAGCGCTGGCGGGCGCCCCGCCCCTCAGACGGTGGAAGGATGAAGCCGCATTCTCCGCGGGGGAGCTGAGGTTCGTCGCCAGGCGCGGGGTTTCCAGTCGGATGGACGGGGGCCTGGATGTTGCTATGGAACATCAGGAGTCGACCTGAGGTGGTGGTCGTAGCGTGGTTGCTGTATGGGTAATGGGCGGCTCATGGAAGGCCGGCAGAGAGGGTCTCTGGGTGTAGGGAAGGAGCGACTGTGTCTACGGTATGGCACGCAGGGGAGACGAAGCCAAGAGCCTGAGGCACAACGGTTAGCTGGGGCGAGGCTCGTAATATACAGGCACAGGCATGTCGCTCGGACATGTATGGGGCTGGCGCACAAGATAAGCAATCATGGACTACGCACATTCAGAGCCGGACAGGCGGTGCACGCGGGAGCATCCGAGTGGAAGGTGGCACAATCAAAAGGACGGCAGACCTGTGCACCCGTGGGTGAGGGTGAGGGTTGGAGCAGCGGTAGAGAGCGTAGGAGCGCAGTGGGTGCGGGTCAGGTTTTGGGGCGCTGGGATGTGCAGGTACTCTTTGTTTTTGGCATTGGAACTAGCTCCCGCGCCGGGGATGGCCAGCCCTGTGCTGGGCGGGGACAGTGCTGGGCTGGTTGTGGGTGCGGTTGGAAGCTGGAGTTTGGGGTGTGTGGTGGCCGCCGAGCCAGGAGTAAGAGATAAGACTCACGCCCTCTGCCAGAAAACGCGCCAATGACACGGCGGGCGTGGGAGCCCCGAGACCGCCTGGAGTCGCCGCAGGCCCCATGTGCCCTCTCATTGCGTGCCTGCGCTGCTGCAGCCGCAATGCCCTGCAGCACACCGGGTGGCTTCTCGACGCCGCGCCCCTGTGCGACGCTTTATCGCGGCCACGGCATTCATCTGATATGCGCCTGTCTCCACCGCCCACAAGACGTGCCATGCCCTGCCTCTGGACGGTGAGCCAAACCCCACACGAGCCGAGCCTGACGGCCTGAGGCCATTTGTAACACTTCTTCGTCATCGCAGACGCGGAGCAGCGCCCCGATTCCGCAGTGAGGATGCTGGTTCTGGTAGACGCCGGTCCACGTGCAGCGTCGTCAAAGGTTTGGATGGACATGGTCGTCACCCGTACCAGACGCTTCGCAGGCGCCCGTGAGCGAGGGAAGGATCCATGGTGGTCTGTCCCTTATCGCGACTTCCTGATACACCCCACGCAGCCTGGGGTTCGCTTATCTGATTGGCTTCCCGTCGCATCAACGCAGAACAACTTTGGAACCGCCTTCTTTTTGCCAGCGCGCTGAGGACAGAGATAGTGGCCCGATTGTGGCAAAATCACTCAATGCCACACAGCCCAAGAAGCCTGTACGTCCGCCGTCTTCTCTGCTGCTTCTACACCGCCGACGGCCTTCTGTTGCTGCAGCAAACGATCGCCATTTCACATGCATGCCCGTCACCTACCCGGCACTCAGGCTTCACGGCATGCATCAACATTCGCACCCGACCCAATGCCGGTCGCTCCTTCTGCACGGGGTCTTCGATGTGGCAAGGCGCGCCTGCTCCATTGGTACTCGAGCACCAGCCTCATCCGCATCCTCTGAATGTCCATTGATGCATGTAGGCAGCGGCGTAGTAATGAAGGAGCCCGTTTGGTCGAGTCAGGGGTCTGACAGTGTTGTGTCGATATCTCCTCAACCCAATTCTGAGGTCGACGCTGACCAAAACACGCCACACACGCCACCCCTTGTTCGTGAGACAGACCCTCTCTCGCGCCAACGTAGGCGGCACAGTCAATCGTCTCAAGCGGCGCAGCGCCTGAAGAGTTGGTGAGTTCAGGATCGTCGTTCTGAACGCGCTCTGTCAAACGCGCTGTCACATGAGACGGTGTGTTAATCCGTCGCACGCTCCTCCAAGTAGCGCGCTGCAGGACCGCGCACCAGCTCAACCACCGAATCCCACGTCACGTAAAGACGTTACACACGCAGGGCCTCGGCGAAACGTGGACGATGCTTGCCACGATGACTGATTCGTCCCACACAGCGCGGCATGTTCATCAAATTCCATGACTTCGCTTCCATCGCGGTGGAACCGATGGGGTAATGGATACCAGTTCCTTCCAAACACTGCAGACTTTGACTGCACGTTTGCTCCTTCGAGAACTCCTGCTACCGGATACTTGGTAAGTATGACATCTGTACGACCACGGAAATATATCTTTTCACGTCGCGAAACGTCGGTATCCCACGTCCTCTTAGCGACATGCCATACCACTTTCCTTCTTCGGCACCGTCACGGCGTGTTCGCTTGATGACATTGCATCGCTCAATCGCGTCTTACTTACGCCCTCAACTCCCCATCCAACCAAATACCCTTCACTTCCAACCAGAAAGGCTAGCCTCGCGGGAGTAGCCGTGGGGCAGCCAGCAATGTGTATCGCGTCCTTCCTGAAACGGCTGTGAAATTCTGCGCATATTTTATTTGCTTTTCTGTGATCCTGCCACGCGTGCAATCGCTGCAAGTCATCGCACCTTTGGAGGATTCCCACGTGCTGAAAATAAGATGGGAACGGTTGTCGCATCATAAAACCGGCTCTCATCGGGCCTGTGCCTCCGACTCTGCTTTCGCGACGACGCGACATGCAACGCTCGAGCACGCGCGGCCCAGGAGATATGAGTACTCACTCGTATATTCCTGACGCGATCACTTGGTCAGAACGGCAGCTGCTGTCAGCGGGGAGCGGTCCTTTTCATTTCATGACCGCCATTGCGGTCGCACAACGTACGGGTAGGGGTGCAGAATCATATTTGGACCTTCGTCTCAACAACCGTGCAGCAAGGTTTGGGCTTGCTGACGATGTCTCACTGCCCTCGGAGTTTGCCATGGACAAGGCAGTCCCGGGCACGTCGGGCAGATGACGTCGGAGCTTCGGACGGATCATTCCCCGTCTGAATCTGCCAAGATATCCGAGCATCAAGCCGGTCCTCCTCCAGCAGCGAGCCTAGAGTCGGGGACTACTTACTTTGTCGCGTTCTCCACTACTCTCAGGATTACAAAATGCCGGAAGAGAATTGGATTGCTCATGGAGGCGTCCCCGCGTGCGACTTATGCCATTCCCGGAAGGTGAGTCGCCGACCCAATCGGGCCACTACCTGCATTGCGACTGAAGCGTTGACAGCTCGCAGGTGAAATGTGATCGCAAAGAGCCATGTGCAAACTGTGTGGCAGCCAAGACGGAGTGCTTGCGCAACAGACACAAGCGCGTTCCTAAGCCTAAAGTTCGGACGTAAGCAACTGCCCATCTCTCGTGCTTGTGACAGATGCAGAACAGGAGTTCTTTTTCTCGATTGGCACCTTTCGTTCCAGCTCTGATGATGATGCAGGGACGAAAAAATAAAAGCTCTCGTGGAGCGGCTGTCGAGTCTAGAGCACTCGGTCCAGAGTGTTCACCGAAGCCCAAGCCTAGCGCAGGAGCAGGAGTGTACAACCGGTTTCGCTGTACCGACCATTGAAGCATCGTCAGACCGACCGACAAAGAGACAGAGAACAACAAGCTCGCTAGACGTGCCGGCCCCGGTGGCAGCTTCGGATGTTGATAACAGTCCCCAGACAGCACATGAAGCTCGTGTACATATTAGCAAAGAGCTCTCTACCAATGGACTGCTGTCCGGTCATCAGCGTTCGGTCCTCGAGACCGCCATGTCGTTCGTTGACCAGCTATCAAATACCCCAACGCCGACCATGACTGATCGGAGTACCTTTGACGAGTCGATGCATGTCTCTACTGAAATATCCAAGCGCGAGATCTTTAACATTATCCTTGGCAGTAAGTCGATATGTTTGGAGAATCTTGACACAGAACTGATGAGACTGCTAGCTGAATCCAAAGACCGAGGCAACGCTGCCGTTCGCTACCACACTGTCGATCATGTACCACCAAAGGCGTTTGAGAAGATCGCGCTCGCTTTGATGGAAGGAAACGCGGACGAGAAGACCCTTAATCTGTACAAGGTCATTGTGCACTTCCAAGGCGCTGTTGTACTATACGCAAATCAGCTACAAGGCCCCAAAAGCGCAGCCGTCCAAACGCACATCCAGCAAATGGAGTTCAATCATCTGACAGCAGCGCTTACTGCTCTGGACCGCATTAGTTTCCTAACCGCGCCATCCCTACTACTTGCTCAGGCCTTGATCACTGGGGTACGTCTATGGTAGCTGTGTTACTCCGAGATGATTTACTAATAGATGCAGGCCATCATGATGCAAATTATGGGTAACCCAGTGAGTTGTTGGGAACTCACGGCACATGCATCTCGCACTATTGTAGCTCTGGGATATCACCATATTGATAAGCCAATGCCTGAAAGTGATTCCGAAAGCGAGATCTATGCACTTGTCGGCCAATGCGCATTTCTTGACAGTATCATGAGCCTTTTGCTGCTGCGACCAAGATCTCTTCCTCAACTTCCGGTCAAAGCCTCGTACTTGTTACGAGCCGATCCAGCCAGCCCTATGAGCATTCTAGAGATGCTTCCCGTACTCGACAAGATCCTGGATCTGACATTGGACACGAAGCCATCGCCTACTATACTCAACGATGAGGTTGCGCAACTACGGACAAAGATGAAGGACATCTACGAGCTCATGGAGAAGGAACGGCAACTGCATCTCTTGGATAGCAGAACGGATGCTCTCATACACTGGAAAAGCATGGAGTTCAGATACTTTTCTACCCTGACGTCGGTCCACCGCCTGAGTCCCACCGTTACGACAAATCCCTTGGAACGAGAAGAGTGCCTCCAAAGCGCCCGGAAAGCACTCGAGTGCGCAAAGTACATAGAGGAGCTCGGAAGATCTTTAGACCATTTCATTGAAGGCTATGATCCTTATCTCGCTTGGTAGGTGCAAGAAAAATTGGCGAAAACACTGTTACTGACAACGACCAGGAGCATGCTTTCTTACCCACTCTGTCCCTTCTTCGTCGTCTTTTGCAACGTCGTCGGTACATCCAGCGCCCAAGATTTCCAGCTCCTCCAAGATGTCACCGATGGTCTTTCTGCACTCGTTACAGAGAACAAGTATGTACATCGACTACATCGGCTGTGTGCCACGCTGCTGGGCCTCTGTAGGCCCCTGGTGCAGGGCTCTGGTACCCATGGACAGACACAGCACCCAACTGGAGACTCGACTGGACCGTTGACCACCTATCCCATGTCGGCAGCTTTCGGGAACGGTCCTGGCATCTTGAACAATAGCGGGAGTGACAACACTGCTGGTATCATGCCATCTTCATGGAACGACGACATGATGTGGCAGCTGTTTCAGTCGCAACCTTCTCTGGACTGGTTCAACGCTGATATATTGGATCCCTCTTGGGGTCTTGGACAAACACAGTAACTGCGAATCTGAGATACCTATTACTTCATTAATTGCACCCACACGATGACTGTGTTCACATGGCTCGGCATCCTGTTCCCGTATTCGAAGGATATGCGACGTGTGCTTTCTACTAGCGACTGTGGTCCGCGCCGCGATCGTGCGTCGGCATCGGCATCCCGCTTCGGAAGGTACTTATCGCGTGCCGCATATTGTGGGTACGGCACAAGACGCGAACAGATTCCCCGCAGTCGCGTTATGTTACAGATACCAAAACTACTGTACAACGAGTACTATACTCCCCAAGTAACGACTTGCAATTGGACCATACTCCGTATATCGGTTACCAGGACAATGGCTGACCAACCAGACTACGATGCGATAACTTGGCCTGTCCAACTCACAAGCAAAGTCCATCGTAAAAACAATCCTTACCTGGATCCTAGCAACCCCGCTCTTTCGGCTGCGGGCAAGACCGTCCTAATCACTGGGGCGACTGGTGGCATTGGTCGAGCGATTGCTGAAGCATGGGTAACCGCTGGTGCCAAGGCCGTCGTCATAACCGGAAGAAACGAAGAGAAACTACGAGAGGTTGTTGGGAAGTTGGATGCCATAGGCCAAGATGAGACGATTGTGCATTCGTCTGGGTCCATCGATATCACGAAGGAAGAAGATGTTGCGACGTTGTGGAGGAGGGCAGGAGAAGCGGTCGGCCGAATCGATGTCCTCGTCAATAACGCCGGATCCTTGACGCAAGCCATGATTGGCAAGTGCGAGCCAGGAAAATGGTGGCAGGATTTTGTGAGACCCCTCTCTTTCCTAGAAGTCCCTCCATAGTTACTGACACCTGCCTAGGAAGTCAACGTCAAAGCCGTACATTTGAACGTGCACCACTTCCTCACCCAAGCGCCGGACGGCAAGGGCACCGTGATTTCGGTCTCGACCGGAACGTTGGGCGACATGTATCCCGACTTCTCCTCCTACATCCCCAGTAAACTCGCGCAAACCAAATTCATGGAGTTCCTTCATCACGAACAGCCTGGCATCCGCACATTCAGCCTCTTTCCCGGCCTCGTCGCAACAGACATGCCGCCGAAGCAATATCTGGACTTCGCCCTTGACGACCCAATGCTAACAGGAGGCTTGACACTTTTCCTATCTACAAAGAGAGCAGAGTGGTTGCGAGGCAGCATGGTGAGTGTGAACTGGGACTACGAGGAGATGGAGATGCACAAGGAAGAGATCTTGGAAAAGAGGTTGACGAAGTTGGCTTTTTGTGATGCAAAGTTTGGGAAAGGAGGTCATCCTTGGGCGACGTGAAACTGAATAGCGCTGACATCCAGAGATTTCAGGTTGCATTACAGAATAATATACGGAATGAGAACTGCGCCTGTGCGACTTCTTGTATTTCCCTTGCACGCCCACTCGACAATCGTCTCTGGCATAACACATGACCCTTGCCGACCACAATCCACCTACACCACCACACCAGCCACTTTACATCTCTGATGACCTGCTTTCAATCACCGACATATGCATCTTCCGAACATGTGCATTCAGCTTATCCTTCCTTGGAAACGGCCGAACGGCACGTTCGCAGCCAGGTACTTGGCACCAGAACCTGTCGCCCGCATCTTCCGCGACATGAGCTCCGTTGTAATGACGAGTAAAATCCTGCCAGCGATTGTAGGTTCTGCCGATGCAGCCGGGTGCGCTACATCTAAAGACGAGCATGCCGAGGTTATCCGTACCCTCTATCGTTCCGAGTGTATTGATGGTCGGTGCGCTCGGCGGGAATAGTGGTGCGGGTTGGTTGTATGGGCAGAAGGAATGCGGCGAAGCTGAGAAATCGTGAGACAAAACCGACATGGGAGTCTGCGGTGTAGCGCGGAAGAGTTGATGCAACGGGTTCTGAGATTCCGGCACATAGAGCGAACCGCGCCTGTCATATACGGAAGTGAACGGGAAAGGGTTGACACTGAGAGGAGTCAGTCAAGGGCTCAGTAGAGTCAAGGCCATAACGTTTACTTCTCAATGCTTCCCATACTCATGCGCTGAGCTTGCAGCTCCGTAAACGAACGTATCGTTTTGAGTTCATCATGTTCGTACACCATACTTTGCACGACGTTGTGCGTATCCGGCATTAGAGGCTGATCCTCTCCATCATGAATACTCCAGTGCGCCCTGTCTTCCTCAAGGTCACCACTCTCAACCCCAGTGCCTACAGGCAAATCGAAGTCAGAGTAGGGCCGACTCATGCTATCATGGTCTGCCATGGGAACATCGATCGAAGAAGTTACTAGAGCATCGTTACTTGTGTACAAATACGAGAGATTGTTGGACTGACACTGAGAGGTATAGCGAGAATGGTCTGGTGACTGGAACGCGCAGTACCCACATGGAGGACCGCAGATTCTGTCAACGTGGTACATCCGTTCGAAGTTGTCTTGCTCGTTGTTAGCCATCCTGATTTGGTAGACGAGACCTTTGTAGATAGGGACGAGTTTTAAAGGATTCGCGACTTGTACATATACGTACAGTCTCGCGGGAATATAGCCCTCTTTTATGATGTACGCAGATGGCGACCACGTCAGCTAGTCGATGAACCACAGCAAGACTTCTTCGAACTCGCTTTGCCCTTCATTAGATGCAGCATGGTAGGCCGCGAATGAAGTACTGAGCATATGGCAATATGAACCCCGAGTAGGTCTAGCTGCGTGTTCATGGCACCGGCTATGCATGAAGGTGCAGAAAAAAAGAACCCCAGATATTCTCGGCACCCAATGCCATTGGAGGATACTTCGCCACAGCGTTACAGGGGCGCATGCATTGGTTGTGCGCAACTGACAACAAACGGTGGGTGGCCGTTGCCTACTTATGCTCGTTCCGTCTGCGGCTCTGCTGCTTGCTTTCGCCATCACTATGATGGGGGCCACATGAGCCCCACATTCTCGTCTGCTCCATCGAGTTTAGCGTTCCACTCGAGCTCCACATTTTCGTCTTCTCCATCGAGGTTAGCGTTCGACATGCAATGAAGACAGTTGAGACGCGTCCTTTCACGAAGTACTAGAAAGCCGCATACATCATACGAGGCATCGACATCTTGTTTCCTCGGAGGATCGTTAGTCGGCACACTGGACTCTGGTACGACGCTTCCAGAAACGCCGTTGCATACAACATCGTTGATCATTGGTTTGCTTACCATATAACTCGGGATAACAACCTTTCCAGATGCAATGTTGTTTCATGAGCACGAAGCCGTCATACACAGATGGATGCTTGGTGGGATGTTTCGCTGAAGCGGACCTTGGAGGATCACCGACACCCTCGGGCCTGACAGGTGGCTTCGTTGTCAGCACGGCTGAAATGACGGTCAGCCTGCATCGAGAAGCGCATGACTAAGGAATACGATTGGCATAGTAGGCGACATGCGCCTGCGGTCGCTGCGAAGCTGCTCCTTATGTTCAGAATCGGACAGAACGTTGCGCATCGCTCCGCCGAGTCCACGTTATCAGGAGACCCGAATGCGTCTATTCATTTCTGCTCCGTCTGTGAGGACTTCCCAGCCTTGCTGATCCAAGAAGAGAAGAAGTAAGGTGATTTGGGGTATCATTCGTTGCATTCATCGTAACTGTGCATTACCATATCTCATCCACCCTCTACCGTGATCCCAGACTTTGTAGGGATAGTCAGCTTACTGACCATCCAACACCACAAATCATCATTGCATCTCCATCTCAACCTCTTTCTTCGCCGCCACCGCCTGGCTAGGCTTTTGTCGACTTCTACTCCTGTTCTCTGCTTTCTTTTCTACAATGTCTGCTCCCAGCCCCAAATCGACAGCCTGGTGTGACGCGGACTCAGTGGGCTGTTCGATGTTCACTTCGGAGCTCGTCTTCTCGTTGTCTTGTATAGGCTCTTCCCGCTTCTCGTAGACCGTGTCCTGAGTGACATCTTGCGCTGGTCGATCCGTGTCCATATCGGCACTCAGGTCTGAGCTTGGCTTCACAATGTCACGTGTGACGTCTTCGCTTGGTCTACTGCTTGCTGCAGCTGGGCTCGCTGCTCTGTTCCCGTTGCCAGTGAACCCTAGCTTCTCGAAGCTCGCCATAACTCCTTGCCTGAGATCCTGTCCCAGTGCAGCTGCGGCATCGAGAGGTTTTGGTGTATTCGATGCCATCGGAGAACGGTCACCGACGGCGTGTGTGGGTGGAGGATGAACGGTCGTACCTGCTCCAGTCGCTCCCTCCGCGGTCTCTGTACCCGTCACAATAGGTTCTTGAACTATTGGCGTACTTGTGCCACTCCTGCCAGTACTGGCATTGCTGGTCTGTGGTGTGAGGGTCGGCGGCAATTGAGAACCAAAGCTATTCATTTCCTCATCCGTACGACCGAAACACTCAGCCCACCATCTTGCCTCTCCCTTCCGAGGGAAGATCATGCGCTCCTTGCCGCGAACAGCATCATCGATCTCAGGTTCGTACTTTGGATTCATGAACTCTTGCTTCCGGCACAGGAAGTAGTCCCACACACTCCTTGTTCGCTCCTTAGCCCTGGTATCTATGCGTTCCTTCTCGTTGTCAAAGAGGAACGTTCCGTACTGACAAGAATAAAGATGGTAAAGTAAGCGCCTCAAGAAGCGCTCGCTGAATTCGAATCGGGTTGGGTGTTGGTAGTGCAGTTGGTATACGCAGTCGAGGAATTGGTGGAAGACTGGTGACAGCTCGTTCACCTTGGTGATGCGATGCTCTTCCGCAGCTCCAATCTGGGTCGGCTTTGCTGAAGTAGGTTCTGCAACATCTGTGCCGTTTTCCGGTACGTTCGTCTCTGGCAGCTGATTGAGAGACTCGTTCGACTCGTTGTGTCGGTTGAAGAGACCCCGCGCGCCACGGAGAGCATTCTCAAAGGGATTGCTGCCTCCAGTGCCGTCGCTCTTGCGCTCAATCTTCTCGTTCTCTATAGTGAACCATTTCTCGTGACTCAAGAAACCCGATCGGTGTCGGAACATGTGTCCAAACGATAACCAGTCTTTCTCGACAAGGACAATGAAGCCTTCTAACGTCCGGTAGTATGGATCTAGCAGGATCTGACTGAGTGCACTGAGCTGGCTCGTACGATCCCAGCCATCAGAACAGTGGATAAGGACGTGGGAGTGCATGATCCCGACCGTTCTGGCTATCAGCGCAGTCCCGTCCAGTATGTTGGCAATATGCTTGATCCAGTTGCTCTTTGCCAGAAGCTGTCGATTGGGAGGGAAAGGCACTAGATCGGACTCTTTTAGCGCCTCGATGACTGTATCAAGCGACTTCCGCATGACGTGGATGTTGTCGATTCCGAGGTAGGCTTTTTCCGCACCAGGGTAATAGTCCATCTTCTCCGAGCCAAGTCCAACAGCTTGCATCGCATAGGCATTGACTGTAGGTCTGGCATCGACAATAAGGTTACGCTGCTGGGCTCCGTATACCTTTGGTGCGTCCGGGTCTGTCTCCGAAGACGCCGTCAGATCGTCTGCGGTGGTCCTGCCGGTGTTCGTATTCTCGTCCACTGTCCCAAAAAAAGAGCTATTAGCACTGGAATCATTCAGGTTCACAACGCTGGTGTCGGGAGTGAGTTCTGTAGAGTTTGAAGAAGAGGCATTCGCAGGTTTCCACCCACGGTTAGTAGCCCAGATGGCTGCGACAAGCCGCTCGTCTTGAGGATTCCGATTCCCGCGCAGACCCGGTGTGGGCTGTGAGCTTCTAGTTATAGAGCAGTTGTTGATGGGATGTCGGTAGACGAGGGCTGGTATGCGTTGTCGCGAGCGGTATTCACCGGCGTATCTGAGAACGCTGTCTGAGACGTTGGTGGGAACGACGAGGAGGGCGGGATATGTCGGCGCGTACTGTTCCACTCGTCAAGACCTGTGTTTGACTTCACATGTCACATCTGATGTACCTTATATTCCACGTTGACTTCAGAGATCCGCCAGCCCTTCTCCGTGTCCTTAGGGCTGATACCCAGCCGCTTCCATTCGCGGCGGGCGTCGTAAATCTCCCAACCATTCTGTTGGTCTTCCGGCGGTTTTGGCTGGTAGCTAAATGCGAGTAGCTTGTCCAGTCTGCCAATCTTGCACGAGAGTGCCCGTATGCTATCGTACACGTCACGCGCCTTCTTCTCATTGGGGAAGAAAAAGGCAAAGAAGGTAAAGTCGCGACATCGTATGCGGATCGAGGGCTCCTGGCGCAGGATGGGTGGGCACGGTTTGAGGGAACAATAGTTGATCATAGGATACGTTATCCATACTTCTTTCTGTCGCGGTGGTTTCGCGTCGGCAGGAGCGT